CTCACCCATTTCACCTCCTTCCTCCCCCTCTGTCTCCTTCCTTCTCCTCCCCCCTCCTCCTCCATTTCTCCTCCTCTTCTTTCCTTCTCCCTCTCTCTCCCTCTTCCTCCACCACCTTCTCTCCTTCTATTCTCCACCACTACTTCTCCTTCTCTTTGTCTTTCCATCTTCCATTTCTCTTCCTTCCTTCCCCTTCTGTCTCCCTCCCCCTCCTCGATTGGACAACCATTGGATCAGGATATTATAAGGGCTCTTGCCTTGACTAGGGGGATAGATTAGAAGGTCCCTTCCAGCATTAGGATTCTATGTTCTAAGTTTGAAAAACACTGCTCTAGTCAAAATGTCGCTTTATCTTCAGATTCACTACAGTATCAACAGGAAGCTCAAAGGACAATTCAACTGCTATCCTTGCTTGAAAAGATCAAAGAAAGTGAGAGTTCTTGCCTTCCTTCCCCATTGCACTGAATTACTGTGTGACAAGCCCCCTGGGTTCAAACAGCAGTAATAGATGGCTTCATCTTCTGCCAAGGCCCCTGTTATGGTCAGGGACATCACATTCCCTGACTTGGACCCAGAGAACCTGGCTGGAACATCAGAAGGTTTGACACTGGTATGGTGAACCAAGAGCCGGGGTGGTTTGCCTGGATGTTGCTGGGCCCACCAAGGGTAATTGCCATCGGCGATGACAGTAGAGTATCTGCAAGATATGGTGACCGTCCCACCAAGGGGCACCGATTCTGTGTCCTTCAGGCTTTGTAGCTGCTGAAGGCTGAGATCTGCAAGGAAACACAGCAGAGAAGTGCTTATTTAAGGGACTATGGAGAAGACTTGGCCACCATTCGGGAGAAGACACAGCTTCTCTCTTCCATCAACTCCATGTAGCTCACCAATAGTGGCAAGGAATAGGACCAGAAAGAACATGTTGCTTATTCTGGAGAGATATGACACGTTCATCTCCTTGAAGTGAAATGATCTTCTCTTGGGGTCAACCCAGTTGTTCTTAAATCCCCAGAGGCCAACAAAAAATCGGTTCCTTCATGCAAATCTCTTACACCTTTATCTCCCATCTCTGATTGGTGGAACAACCGCAAGAGAACCACTTGCACCTGCTAGTCAGATTGTTTCTCTGAAAGGTCTTCTAAATTGTATCTGCTACATATCGCTGACTTCAAAGAAATTGGAACAGAGAGGCTTCAAATGGGTGGGAACTGAAACATTGGAGAACTCAGACACTCAACTAAGCTCCAGAAACCTTTGGGAGGAAAATGAACATCTGGATAGACAGCTCTCACCAAGCAGAACCTAGGCTGAAGCACTTGACTGTTCTCCAAATAATTTGGAAGAATGTCCTGGCAATCATTACTCCTTGCAAAAAATTGTATGACTTGTGTGAAATGACCATGATTCAGATTCAGCAAGCATCTATTTCAAGCTTATCCTCTTCTCTTCTTTCAGATATTAACCACTACCTGAACATTTGGACTACCTGGAAATTTTGAAGACATTGTATTCTTTGACTAGCATGGTCAGGAATTCCAGGTTAAGTTCCAAACCTGTTTTGAAGTAAAAGAGATAGATTCCATACTGTTTTTTCCCCCCCTACTGGTTCTTTCATTCTTCCCCTTTTCTCCATCAAGCACCTCTTTGAGATCATTCTTTTTCATTCCTTCTCTCCACAATTCCATAGATCGGAAACAAATGCTTTGAGAACTGAGGATAAGAGATTCAAATTGAAGGTTTGGTTTCATAAGAACAACAGCAGCACCTGCTGGTTTTATACATCTCTCCAACTTTGTTCAAGAACTTTCATTCTACCCATCTCCTAGTTCTTTCTTCTCTTCTTCCCTTTCTTCCCAGCAACACACAAACACAAATGGAAAACTGCTCATTAAAGGAGGAATGATATTCATATAAATTTATGAAGATGAGCAGGGTGAGACTGAGGGTGGGGTTAAATGCGTCATCAGCTTGGAATCCTTACGTTCCTACAAGAAACTTAAGACCAGTTTCCTATGAATTCTGTTGACTCTTATCTCATTCTGCTTTGGCTTGACTATTAGTAGAACAGATTTTTGTGTATAGATAGCATGTAATAAACTTTTAGAGCTTTGAACTCAGCTCTTGTTCCTGGTTTCTTGCACGTGACATGGAGAACAGAACCCACAAGAGTGGCAGTAATAGACTCATCGGCAGGCACAAACAATCAGACCACAAGTATAGAGTTCAAACTAGCTACTTTATTGTTGTATGCCTATTTCGTAGGAATCTCCCTAGACTGGCAGCTTTTGCCTGGGGAAGTCTAGATGAAGCTGTGTTTTGTGTTTTGCGATAAAAGACCCTAACCCCTTTGCCATGGTGACTCCTAATTGCAGCAGAATTAGGAGAAAAGAGTAAAATGCAGATAGTTCTCATCTTACAGCCATTCATTTAGTGGCCATTTGAAGTTACAAGAGCACTGAAAAAAGTGACTTATGGAGCATTTCCACAGTCGCATTTCTTCTACTAACTCCAAACACTTTAACCTCAGACTGTCTACTGTTGACCTCACCCCATTCCTAAGAGGTCTGTAAGGGGGAGTGCATAAGCACACCAGCGTGCCTACCATTGTTGTGGTTAGTCAGCAGCAGGTGCGGACGGCTGAGGAGAGCGAGGACTCAGACGAGGGGCCAGGACCATCAGGGAGTGGACTGCTGCCTTCAGAGATTGTGGGGGCTGGCAGCAGTGATGAGGAGGTTCCCGAGGAGCCTGTGCCAAGTGCATGTGCACGAAGGATTACTCAGAGGAAAGAACAATTACAACAGCACAGGCGACTCGGGAGTAAGGCTGCAAGGTCATGGCCCCTCCCTCAAGAGGATAAAAGCCAGGTTTGGAAAAGCCTTCTTTGCAGACAGCAAAGAAGCTCTGAAGCTCAACTTGTGGACATTGGAGAATCTGGTAAATTAGTTTTTATCTCTGGGTTTTTGGCAGCATTGATGAACACCTTGGCAAGGCTCTTTCTTATCGGAGATAATTAGAGGAAAGCAGCCTTTTATCTGTAAAGGAACAGAACTCGTTATTAAACCTTAAAAGGTGGGGGCTGCTGCCTTTGTCTGTGTTTGCTCTTTGGGAACCTGGTTGGGTCAGAACAACCGTCCCTGTCCTAATGTCCTCTTTTTATTCATATCTATTTCGTGTATTAATAATCATGTTTATACTTACATATATTATCAAATGCATGCTTGACCAAATAAATAAATAAAATAAAAAAAACAGGATCAAAATTGGAACGCTGGGTAACTGGCATGTATTTTTGACAGTTCCAGGACCTTTTGCGACTATCTGACAAGCCAAGTCAAACGGGGAAGCCAGGTTCACTTAACAACCATATTACTAACTTAACAACTGTGGGGATTCACTTAACAAAGGTAGCAAGAAAAGTCACAAAATGTGGGCAAAACGCATTTAATGACTATCTCACTTAACAAGGGAAATTTTGGACTTAGTTGTATTGTAGGTATATATGTTTTGGGAAGAGTGTTCAACGCTTTGTAGTTGCACAAATTCACCTGCGGGGGCCTGACTTGGCATTGACAAGCAAAAGGTTTTTGTCTCGGTTCCTCGTTAAAGTCAATCACTGTGTGCCCAGTAAGTTTGTAGTCCCATGAGCTACAATAATAAACAGCATCATCTTCCACTTGAACTCCATTGATCACTAGATTCCAGAGGTTCTTGGAGGCATCGGGGGAAACGCTGAACCTCTCTGGGACCCCAGTTCCCC